AGAGCGTCTCAAGTTAAAGAGCCGGAAATAATAATTAAAAAAAGGGGGGGTTAATAACGGGAAGTATGAACATATCGAACAGTCTGGGAAGCTGTAATTGGACGCGAATTAAACGAGGTATCATGAATTTTACCCCTCTCTCTTTGGAACAGGGATCAAATTCCTGTTTTTGCTCCTGTGTATGAGTGACACGTTTTACTCTTTGCATTCAGACTCATCATTTTCAAGGGAATGCCGTGGATGAGCAAACGCCGGACCAAAACATTTTTTTTAATCCTAAATCTATGACAGGTCCTGAAAAAATATGAATCAGTCAAACGCAAGTGGAATTTTGTAGAGTAAATCTTGATATGTTTCGTCCCTCTTGAAAGAAGAAGCATCTTGCGCACCGCATGGTGTCCCTCAGACATAAGGGAGAGTGTAGATTCTTTTACCCTACAGCTTCTGTAATGATATCAGCGTGTTGCAGCTCTTTGGGTCCATAATGGGTAAATAATTGTTTTTAGAAAGAAATTATGAAATTAAAAACATCCAATATACGCCTGTTGTTCTGAAATAAGTCTATATAATAGGCTTATAAACTTGTGATAACTATAAAATACTGTCAGTCAACTCACTCTAATTCTCTTTTTGTATATTGTGAAAAGGTTAGAAAAATCAGAAATGTAGTTCAATGTGCATGATTTTTTAAGTCCTTTTCATCTCAGACCCCTCCGGCCCAGGTTGAAAAAAGCGGTAACCTCCCATACAGCTCTATTAGGAAATCTAAACACGTCGCCCTGCTGGGCGCGCGCGTTGCATGCCCAGCTGAGTGGTGTGCATCAATGTATGCGTGTGTATGTGCAAGAGAAAATTGGAATAAATACCCCCCTCCCCCTCTCCTAATTCCTTTCCAGAATGTATATTGCTTTCAACTATCGGTGGAAGCCATAGCTTTGCATTCCCTATTAAATTATGTGCAATGATTAAAGAAATTTTAACGACGAGCGGACCGATGCACACAAAAAGTGCATGAGGACAATTTGAATGTGTACAAATGCTGAGCACACAAGATGGGAATTAGCACGCCTTGGTTCTGATGACTGGAGTAAAGTGCAGAGACGTTTCTGTCTAACGCTGTGAGGATTCTAAACTATTGACCTCGGAGTGATTTCGGGAAACGGAGACTCGGGCTCTTTCACGTTTTCTTTTACTAAACATGTGTCTACACTAACATGCATGTTCGAACGCTCTCCCATCCCCCAGGGAGTTCTTTTACGCAGCTTACATGATTAGTAATGTGAGCGTGGTGTGTATAATGATGAAACGTTTAAAACGGAACCAATCAGAGCACTGTGCACTGAAACAATTCTTTTGATGATAATCCGTAAAAACGAACCTGAAAAACACCCCAAACAGGGGGAATGCACTTAGCAGCCTCTTGTTGTTCAACCAAAATTATTGCAAAAAGTAGTAGTGAGCGGCTGAGCGACTTAAATAAGAATACAAAACTGGGGAGCCATACAGGGATCCTAATATCTGATTGGACTGGATTTCACCTCCAATCACATATGTGATTGGCGGCCTCTTGGAATATTTATGGACCCAAAGTGTGCCTGCCATATCT